CTCAGAGTCTGCGTTGAATCTACGAGAAAGTACTGTGTCGTTTGATGAAAGTTCCTTATCTATTTTTTTCAATGCGACCTCCTCGACCAATCGAGTTTCTGCCTTTTCCCCAATATACCCTTTTGATGACTTAGGGGGGGGAAAGGGCGGAAGAGGAGGGGGGAAAGAGAGGGAAAGAAAGAAGAAAAAGGAGGGTTTTACGCGTTTCTAGCACGAACCAGAAAATTTCAGACAACGACTATTTCAAACCACGCGAACAACATCATATAAATAAATAAATAGATCCAAGGGGGAATCTATAGGGGAGAAACTGAAATTAGCCAATCAAATCCATTTGAATTTCCACCCTTCTTCGGAGATCTCGAAGAAAATAGATAATGCTTGTCGGAGATCTCGATCAAAATAGATAGAGTAAAAACACAACTCAATTAACACCAGAGCCAGTTTCGTCCAACCGAAAATAGAATTTTTTGAAAAAGAATTTATTGAAAACCAATGATGGAACATTCTTCATTTCCAAGATCATCATCACACGGAGCTACCGTATCAAACTGTACAAGAGAAGATCAAATTTATGCGAAAACAGATCTACGAATTATTTCTTCTTTGTTAGGCAATGCTTGTCATGTGGAATGGGCCCAGGTTTTTTCTTTCCACCATTGTTCATCTGGTAAAAGATGTATTGAGCGTATGGTCGACAGCAAAAGTTTTGATTCAAGTTCGGCTGAAGGAAGTGAAACGGTAGCATTGCATTGGTCGCCTGAAATGGAAGAAATCGAACTACTGGATGGTGACCTCCTCCAACTCCAACATAAGGAGGATTCATCGAAAAAAATGGCAGATTCGATGATGATGGGAACACAAAATTTGGAATTGTTGAAGGAACACTTCTCGGAGCATTGCCATTCGGAACCGCCAACAATCTTCTAGAAGGGGGCTGTGGTGCGTGCGAGACACGACGAATTGGCGATACTGCTGTGGTTGCTCCTACTTTAGACTGCAAAAAGAAGAAATTATGAGCTCATCGCAGAATTGGAAATGTTGCCAAGTCCTTGAAATTGCTTACCAATTCTTTTACGCTTTCGTGCCCAGGTGGATTAAGAGCTGGACTTGCAGCTGTTGTATCAAATTGGATTGCGCTCGACTCGCATTCCTTGCAAGTGCAGAGTCCATCCATCGTTTTTCCAAGTGTGTTCCTTTCCTTTTGTTCGCTGAAGTACTTGGACAAGAAGACTTCGCCGGTGTTTGGTGCCATGGCTTTGATGTGCGGAAATGGCGGCTCAATACCCTTTGTGATTGCAAGCACATTGAGAAAATGAAGTCTGGCATGATTGTACCACAGAGGACGATCTCGCAAGTATCCTGGTACAAACTCCCAACAACAATCAACATCACCACCATTGTTTTCCATCTGCTGAACTCTGTGCTCCCGTAGTAGATTGTATTCCGCAGCACCTCTCAAAGTTAGAGAGTCTGCCACTTCTGGACGCATTCCCCCATTTGCAAAGTGACGCAAGAGACCATGGAACATTTCAAGCAAGCTCTCTGGACGTTTGGATAGCCACACGAGTAGTGGAATGAGTGCTCTCTTGCCAGGTTGGATGCCTCGATACATCTCAATACCTTCCGGATCTTGAATGTGGTTGGCATGCAGTCGATTGTTCTCGAGTTGGTCCATGAACTTTTGTACAGAAGTCGTGAAGACGTCTATAAGTTCTGGAGTTGTCTTGAGAAAGCCTTGAACCCAGACTCCAAACTCATGTAAATTTCTGTTGACTTCGTCTCCACTCAGAATCTCCTTTCTGAGATACTTGGTGTAGTTCCTAGTCCAATTTTTCGAGAGTCGCAATTCGTCCACTTCTTTGTTTGTGTACGGCTCACCGTCACCTTGCTTTTTAATGCTCCCGTCACGAAACGCTTTCATCAATCCATCCATGTCGTCTTGATTGTACCTGTAGACGGACCTTTGAAAGCGATCTTTTACCAGATGGAAGTGGGGACTCGTTGGGTTCAGGTGCTTCGTGACTCGCTGGTTAAAGTGGAATAGGCCCAGTGTCCCATTCGTGTTTGGTCCAAGGCGCTTGATCCAGTAGGTCTCACTATTTGGCCATGTATCGGTATACAGCCCTCGCCTTTTGCCGTCATTGAAGTTCATCCCCTTCCGCTTCAACATTGCATTCAGCAGGTGGTCGACCTCTTGCAGCTTCTGCGACGCAACAATCCCCAAGGTGCAAATTTGACCCTTTTCATTCAAGACTGTAAAGATCGCTTTGCCACCTTCCAATCGATAGTTCTTCAGAGTCTCAAAGGTATGGTCAATCGCGAGAAGCTCTCCAATGCTTGTTGCTTGAATCATCCGCTCGAATCGATCATTTGCTGCCATTCCCTCTGGATTAAGGACCGAATCCTGAGCGCGTTTGAATTGGTTTCGGCAATCTTGGTCGGACGGTGGATATGTTCGAACCACCTCTTGTAGTGGGGGATAAGCTCCAGCAATATTTGGTCTGCTGTAATAGTCTTCCATCTTTTCAAGAAACGCTTCATTTTTCCGTCTGTAGATCTTCTTTGTAAATTGAGCTGCACTGGAGAACTGCAACATGCCTTCCTCCATGTCAGCAGTGAGTGGCTTCGATAGGTGAGTTTGCTGGGGACCATCTGCATACCTTGGGTCGACAGGATATTGGTTGCGGATGAATGCTGGAAGGGTTGCAAGAAACTGTCCTTCATTTGTCGAGAATACATGTTTGCAACAATTGCATTGGTACCTGAATGGTAAGCACCAAATCTCATTGGAATCATCAACAACCGGAAACAGACGTTTGTGGTGACTCCAGTAATCACGTTCTCGACGTAGATCGCTAGATGAACATTGATAGCAAGCTAGTTCCAAGTCTGGAAAGGCAACTTCAAAGTCCATGTAGATGAATTTGGACCCAGCGATGGAATGGAAATGTGGGTTGATCAAACGTCTTGAATCCATCACATGTGGAACCGTATATACAATGTTGTTCGATCCAAAGATTGCCATGAATCTAGCATTCGCTTCCTTGAACGGTTGACTCTGAGGTAGCGACATAGACTCAGCTATTTGTCTTGGTTTTTTGTGCCGAACTTGATCCATGATCTCAGTTGCCAAGGCCAACATTGCAGGAGGGACAGTCTTATTTGGTGGCGGTTGTTCCAGTCTTATTGCAATGCTTTTCTCCAAAAAAATTGCCACTTCCTGTGGAGAGCTTGTTGGCACAAGCATCTTACTTGCAACCGCTGAATTGATTTCCATCACAGGGACCTTTCCTGTCTGAACTCTCTGGTACTTCTTCACCGTCCTCACCAAATACTGATCAACCCCTGGAGTGGTGCCGCCAGTCAGTTGTTTTTCCTTGCCAGGATCTGTCATTCTAGCAGAGAAGTGTCTCTTGAGGTACGCCGAATATCGATTACTTGCCACTTCTGTAGCAGAATGTCCACGAGTTTTTGTGTTGCCTTCGCAACGAGGGTGGTGTTTCCGATGGGGCTTTCGTTGGTTCCGAGCCACTGCCTTGCAAATAACACAATCCTTCTTTGGATCGAAAGCTCTCTGACTTATGTCTTCGACTGCTCGCTGAATAAGAGGTCTGCTGATGGGCCTTGTGCAATGTCGACCTTTCTTCGATGCTCGGAATTGAAGTCCTTTGAACACTGGCAATCTTGTTTGGCTCTGCCGTCCCATTGGGTCTTCATTTGTGGCACCAGCATTCTGATTCTGATGTTGCAGTGCACCATGTGGCCGAGAATTGTATGCGTTGAACGGATGTGTCAGTTGTGGGTTTCCATATGGGTTGGGAAGCTCCATTATGATGTCGCTAAAGCTGCTTTGAGACTACTGTTTTTTGTTGTCATTGGAGATTTGACTTTACCGAGTTTTGTGATGTCTTCGGTCCTGTCACGAATGCGTAGTTTTCTACGTTTGTGGTAATCAGCTCAGAGTCTGCGTTGAATCTACGAGAAAGTACTGTGTCGTTTGATGAAAGTTCCTTATCTATTTTTTTCAATGCGACCTCCTCGACCAATCGAGTTTCTGCCTTTTCCCCAATATACCCTTTTGATTCGAAGGCGTCGAATAGAACCACACATGCAATCCGATCGAAAAAAAACGGTTTTCAGTTTCCTTGAACATCAACATGTAGTTAGTTTGTTGCAATCACAACATAATGACAATCATAGGTTATTCAGGTCGAGGAAGAGGTAGAGAAAAGGGCAGAGGACGTGGGAGAGGATGGGGAAGAGGCGGTGATAGGGGAAG